CCCTCCCTTATCCCCTGCCCCCCTTCCCCTGCCCGGCACCTCTCCCTTATCCCCTGCACCCCTTCCCCAACCCATGCACGCCTTCCCCAGCCCCTGCACCCCCTTCCCCAGCCCGGCACCCCTTCCCCGGCCCCTGCACCCCTTCCTAGCTCCTGCACCCCCTTCACCAGCCCAGCACCCCCTTCCTCAGCCCCTGCACCCCTCCCTTATCCCCTGCACCCCCGCAGCAGAGGCGAGAGTCGGCCGGGTGCTGTACAGGGTCCCTGCTCCATCTGCTGGGCACGGCAGGGTGACCGGTTGCTGTACAGCCACCCCTGCTATAGAAAGAGCAGACATCACCCCAAACGGAGAAGGGGCAGCTGGAAAGGGCCAAGCCAGCGCAGGGGGGCTCCATCCCTCCCGGGACCCCCTTACAGGCTCCTGTTTCGCCATCGCTGCAACAGGACCGATGGTTTTCTTGGCGCTCGGCCGGGACAGACGGAAACCTGCTGTCTGGGAGAAAGGGGATTTTGAAGCACCCGCTGTTCCTGTTTGGGCTCCGCTTGCAGTTTTCGATGGAGATGCCTCACAGCATGAAACCCCTCAGCGGGCTGTGTAGCAGGGCCTGCCCATCACAAAAGCCACAACAATAAATGAAAAAGGGGAAAAAAAAGCCCACGCAAGGCTGGCTGCACCCTCGCCGTTGGGTGCCGGTGCAGCCAGGACAGCGGGAAGCCGAGCCCAGGCGGGGCGGCAGAGGGGAGCTCGCTGGTGCCCACCGTGTGCCCCCACACCTCGGCACCGTCCCCCTGGCCACGCTCTGGTACCCTGGGGGGGTCAGGGGCTGCCCCTTACCTGTGAGCTGTGGGGAGCTCAAATACCAAAGCTTCCCAGTGCAGAAAAACTAGTTACAGCTTTTAATTACAAACCCATGGCTTCAGCCCAGGAAAGAGCCCCCGGGAAGAGCCAGGCTCAGCCATGGAAATCATGCGGGAAGAAAGGAAACAGACGACTTTATTAAAATATACCCTCTCTGTCCTTTTCTGAGCCTATTTACACCCCGCTCTGCGCAGGCTCCCCCTTTCACAGCAGCACTCCGGAGTCCTCCACGGCGTGCGGCAGCCCCGGCGCGAGTGAGCCGCCGGCGGGCAAGGTGCTGGCCTGGGTCCATGCCGAGCCCTTGCCGGCCGCCTCCTCGGGCAGCAGCGGGACGTAGGCCTCCTCCACGGGGCCGCCGAGCTGCTCCTCCAGGACGTACCTCGTCCCCCATCGTTCATTGTGGTGGACATCCACAGCCACCAGCGCCGGCTCCGCTCCGGGGGAGCAGGGCTCGGCAACGTCCCCGGAGTCCAAATCAGAGTCCGCTTGGGGGAAGCCCGAATCCTGAGTGGAGTCAGGGCTCTCCTCGGGCAGGCTGGTGTTGATGTAGATGACGTCTCCGGCTCCCCTGACGGTGGGCAGGTTTTCCAGCAGCTTCTCCAGATGGACCTTTAGCTCTGAGAACGTCGGGCGGGCGGCGGGGTCGGCTCTCCAGCACGCAGACATTATTTCATACCTGGAAATGGGGAGAGGAGCGTGGTTACCAGGGCAGATGCTGCCACGTGCTGGGCTACAGGAGGTACGGAGGCTCATTCCCTGCTTCTCTCCAAACGGGGCAAGCCCTGAGCTGCTTTGAATGAAGACGAAGCCAAACCAACTCCCTCTGCTTAGGCTGTTTGCCCAACGGCAGGGATTTATCAGCCCAAGCTGCTGTTAGAAGTCTCTTCCAGCACCTAGCGCTCCCCGAGGGTCGGGCAGAGGCAGCCAGCTGCAGCCCTGGGATCGGTCCCCCGGGAACATCCCAGTTCTGCTCCCGGGACTCCGGGTCCTTCTCCCGTCCTTCCCGCAGGTGCGGGTTCCCAGGCTGAGTGTCAGGGCACGCTGGGAACTCCCGGTGCCTCCCTGCAAGCACCTCGCTGCCGGGCACACACCGGCTCCTCGGCCCTCTGGCAGGCTGGATCCGATCAAAGGTTCCTTTGCCGCTTCCTTCAGGGCCAGGCGTGGGAGAGGGGCCGTGTAGGAACCGTTGGGTGACTCCAAGCAGCTTCGCTAGCTTTAACCATTTTTGTATTTGCAGCTCTTGGCCATGGGGGGGTTAAACATTTTCAGCTGTAACAGCACTGGAGAAAAACTCAGGAAGAAAACTCGGGAGAAAAACCCTTGCTGAGCTGCTCAGAAATGCAAAGTTTTGAGGTTTCCACGTTTTCCCTTTCCAGATTCACAGATTTTAGGCACTGAAGGGCCCTGAGTAACTAGAGGGAGTTTTGTGGGGCAGAGAAGAGCATCAGCAGCCAAGACCTTCAGGCTAAACCGTACTATCTTAAAAAAAAAAAAAAATAAAAGACTAAGAAGCCTGATTCCTCCACCACAAACTGCAGAGGGCACTGCTCCTGTCCCCGCAGGGCCAGCGAGGTGACCTCGGCACTTGCCACCCTCCCCAGGCCGCCGGCTGCCAACAGCCGGGCTCCTGGGCCCTCCGTGCCAGCCCTGCCGACGCAGCGCTTCCTCCTGGGACAGTGGCTGGGATTTCCGAGGGCCCGTTTGCCTGGAGTTCAGAAGATGCTTTTACCTCCCTGGGTAACATGCTCCTCTGGGATTTGGCTTTTATCAGGCACGTCAAAACTCGGGAGATTATGCAAATATTAAAGGGTTTGAAGTTTTCATTTATGTGACACTTTCATTCAAAATTTGACCCACCCCATTATTCTGGCCAGCTTTCCTCTGAGAGCTAACCTGCATGTGCGTTCTTGTAAGCTCCCTGCCTGTCAGCCCCACAAGGCAGAAAACGTTAAATCCTTGCCTTTTTTTTTTTTTTTTTTAAATCTAGTCTTTAATAAGTGCTGTTTCTGGGGGCTGTGGGAGAAATGGAGGGGGTGAGGCGGAAGGTACGGACCCTCTCCGGTACGGACCCATCTTACTGCACTTGGAGAGGCAGGTTTGCAGCAGGTGGGCAGCACGGGCACGCTGGAACGGCCTTTGATTGCGCTGTGATGCACAGCTTTGCAGGCTTTGGGCCAAATTTAGTGCTAAGCCACAAATCCACAGCGCAAGTAGTTGTTGTGTCCTTAAAGAAAGGACATCAGTGACTGAGCGCCACAAAGCACAAAGAGCAGCACCCTACAGAAACCGCCTCGGCTAAGGGCAAGCGGTGCGCAGGTTATCCGCTGGCAGACAGGGAGCAACGGGGCCGCGCTACAGCCCAGGAGCGGGGTTACGATACTCACAGCTCATCCAAGCAGTCCTCGGGCTTCTTCAGGCGCTGCCCATGGAAGAGGTACTCGTAGATCTCGTGGTTCTGCACTCCTGGGTAGGGCGTCATCCCGCGGGTCGCTATCTCCCACATGGTAACGCCAAATGCCCACTGCGAGGACAAAGGGAAAGCACGCTGAAAGGACATTTCCAGGGGGAATGAATGAGTCTTTTCATGGGGAAAGGTCACTGCCCAGCGTCCACTGGGCCCTCGCACAATGCTAAAGTTGTCGCTCCAGTCCTGCCCTCCCCAAAATTGGAAATAATAAGCAACGCCACAGAGGAGGCGAGCGGCCCACTCAACAAACCTATGCCAGGATGCTGGGCAGGCAGCAAAAGGTCAGCGCGTCCCGTTACTGACGGCCTCCCGCTCCTCTGGCTCTGCAGTTCCAGGATACGAGAACAGCCGTAACCAAGCGCGGCAAGGGTGGACGACTCAACCCGGGGAGCGGTCCCCTGCTCTCCCCTCCTGCTGCCCGGCTGCCCAGCCACGTGGACCTACCACATCGCTCTTGGTGGTGTAGATGCGGTCAGCCAGGGACTCGATGGCAATCCACTTCACCGGCATTTTTGCTATTCGGCCCTGACGGTAGTAATCGCCGCTGTAAATCTTCTTCGACAAACCGAAGTCTGCCACGCATACCGTCATGTCGTCCCGTAACCTGTCAGGCGGAAACAGGGATGACAAGATAGAAAAGTTGGACGTGCCAAATTCTGAAGCAGAAACCGGAGGCTGAGCTCCTTTCCCTGGAGACTGAGGGAGGTTTCATTGAAGGAAGCCAAGTTGTGCTGTAAAACCACAGGGCTTCCACTGGTGTTCATCTATCCAGGACGAAGCAGAGGAAAACAAACTCACATGCAGTTTCGAGCCGCCAAATCCCTGTGGAGAAATTGCCGACTGCTCAGGTACTCCATCCCCAGGGCGATATCGACCATGAACTTCACCAGCGTCTGCAGGGGCACAAACTGGGAAGGGAAGGTGTGGGTTAGACAGCGCAAGCCCTTTGGGAAGCACGTTTGGTTTGACCTGAAAGGCTTCCCTGTCCAGGGCTGCTGGCTGACATCCTAGTCGTCTCACTGGCCCTGGAGAGCACCAGGAGCCCAAAGCAGCAGCTGCTGCGGCCTCTCTCATCCCCGTTGGGCTGACGCCCCCAGATTGTAAGATTTATCGATTCACAAGCCTGCAGGAGCTGCAGATGCAGGGACAGTTGTTTCAGAAACAACCCCAAGCACTGGCTGCCAGGCTGTGCCGCCGGCCAGAAGAGCCCATCCCGGCAAGCCACATCTCACTGTGGTCTGCTGTAGCAGTGGGTACCCCTCCCATGCCGCCTCCTCCTTCCACGTCTCTGGAGCGCAGCCTGCAGCTAGACATTGCTTCCTTGCGGCCTTTCCCACTGGCTGCCTTCGGATCGCATATTTTTGGCTAGAAAGCAGCTCTGCAGAAAAGGCCGCTGGTGTAGAGCGAGCCGACCGCGGTTCGGCAGCGCGCCTTGTGCCAAAGGCCAACCTTGTAGCAGGCTGCAAGAGAGCAGCCAGCAGGTCAAAAGAAACTATTTTTCCCCTTAATTTGGCACCGGTGAGGCCACATCTGGGTGCTGCGTCCCATTTCAGGCTCCTCAGTAGGAGAAAGACATGTTGGAGCAAGCCCAGAGGAGACCACTAAGATGAGGCTGGAGGAGATGGTGTACAAGGAGAAGCTGAAATAACTGGGCTTATTCAGCCTGGAGAAGGGAAGGCAAGAATCCCACAGGCTTTTGTGGAGCTGGATCCCACCGCTGCCACCTGACAAAGGCAGGAAGCAGGACTACAACCGAGTCCTCTTGTTGTTCTTGGAAAAAACAAAGGCAGGTTTGTCCCCAAAAGAGGCACGGTCCCACCTTACTCCTGGCAAACACAGGGCCCTCTGCTCCCCGCGCTCGTTACCTGGGGAGCCATCTCCAGCCGCGAGCGAAGCAGAAAGCTGTGCAGGTCGCCGTATTTCATGAACGGGAGAATCACCATGGGCTTGGGGACCTGCTGGGAGCTCAGCTCGATGCACACGCCTGGAAAACACAGACAGGTTGCAGAGCCCCGTGGGCAAAGGCACCACGCTCCCCCGCAGACACCTGCGCGGGACCCGAGCGCTCCTCAGCCTGCCTCCCCAGCCCAAATCCCAGCCGGAGGGC